GCCCCACAAAAGCTAAGCAGGCATTCTACCACTGAGGCACACCCCAGCCATAAGAAATGTTTTACTGTGCAATGTTAGTATATCCACCTTTATACTAATGCTGTCATAACACACAATTTTTCATTTTCTTTTCTAGAAGAAGGGCCCACAAAAATTCCTACCAGGACTCTGGATGGGTACCCAGACGGGTCTGGATAACAACACCAAGCCAAGAAGACAGCAGACCCCCTGCAGGAGCCCAGGACAGAGGCAACCAGGAGGGTTTCCTGGAGGAGGCAGGATTTCCAGACTGAAGAAAAGGAAAGGCTCCTCAGAGAGGGGGAACCCCAAGGGCACAGCTGCACTGGAGCCAGCCTGGAAGGGCCTGGAAAGGCAGGTGAAGGGGACAGGACCTGAGCAAGGACAGGTGGTCACTGCAGAGAGCACAGGAGAGGCAGAAAAGTGCCCACTCACCATAGGCGAGTGGGAGAGGGCGGGTATGGACAGGCCATCAACTCTGGGGGCTGCAGGTGAGCTGTCTGGGGATACCACATGCAGCAAACCAAGCAGGAGGAAAGTGAGAGGATGACGCTGTGGCCGGGAGGGAGCGTGAGGAGAAGGACACCCTAGGGGCCGGATGCCAGGAGTCCCAGGGAGACTGAGAAGAGGTGGGCGACAATTCAGGCACAGACACACAGTCACTCACTTGGATGGACATACAGACACACAGACACACACACACATGTACCCTGGGGACAGGACAATTAACATAAAAGACAAGCATCCAATGAGACCACAGCAGAGAGAGACGAGAGTCAGAGGCTGACCCACAGACAGACAGACAACACAGGTCCAGAGCCCATGAGACTCATGCTCCTGGCTCTGGGAGAAAAGAGCCCTCAGAGAGGGGAGGGCTAGGTATAGTGGAAAATGGACCGCACGCAGACAGACTGGTGGACAGAGAGACAGCAGAGAGCTGGTGCTTCAGGGCCAGCTGCTGTCTCCATGGGCCTGTCCTGGTCCATCCCGCCCATCTGTGTTTTTGCTGTCTGTCCATCAGTCCATCTCTTTTTCCCTCTGCAAACCACAGTCTTTTAGAACCCTTGAGAGAGAAAAAGGGAAAGGAAAACAGAGGAGAGGAAATGCAGACAGGGAGCACATGCTCTTGTGTGCGTATGTGCACTTGTGCGTGTGTATGCGTGGTTGTGTGTGTGCATGCTTCTGTGCGTGTGCACATGCAGCTGGGGTCTGATTAGGATTTCCTGAGGGAGAGAGGGAGGAAGGAAGCAGAGGTCAGATGAGAAACCACTGTGGACAGCCAGGTCGGCAGCGGGTGCACGAACCACACACATCACACACCCACACGCACCACACAACACACACCATGCATACCACACCTACACCGTACGCTGCATTCCACACACAACACACCCCATACTCCCCCACTGCACGCCGTATTCCCCACACTCCACCCAGGCCCAGAGCGTAGACCTAGAAACCAGAAAAGCAGTGAGACAGGAGGAGGGGGACAGCCGCATATCTCCCTTCCATGGCAACCTGTCCTGGGGACTCTCACCCAGCCTCTCTAGCCCTTGTTCCAGTGGGTGAGCTGTGGGAACCATTATGACAAACCTTGCAGATTCCAGGGGTCAGAGAAAGCACCCAGGGCTGCTCTGTGACTTCCAAGAGGTTTGGAAGGGTGAGTAGGAGTTTCATCAGCTTGCAGAGAGAGAAGAAAGGGAGTTTCCAGGGGAAGACCCAGCCTGGGCACAGGCAGGGAGTGTGGGAGAAGTCAAAGGGGCAAGGAGGAGAGAAAGAGAAGGAGGAGGAGACAGCATTGAAGGGAGGCCCCCAGGGGGGAAAAAACAAAAACAGAAACTAGCAAGAGGTACACAGAAAAAGAAAAAAACGGCAAAGGAACATAAAGATGTGAGGACAGCTAGGGCGGAGACTAGAAAGAAACCATAACTGAGGATGGCTGGGGACACTAATGGAGAGGGATGGAGGAGGCCTCGCCCCACCCTGCGATCCTCCAGGGCCCAGCGGCTGGACCCTAATGCCAGACATCTCCCAGCCTGCAAGGGCAGTAAGGGCAGGTGCTCTGTCCTCACCAGGCTAGCAGGACAATTGTCTCTTGCCTACAGCCCTGCCCTCCTGGGCACGCATGGGCCCAGATGTGAATGGCTGGTTCCAAAGTGTGGCCCAAGTTCACATGGACCCACTGAGGCACATGCCACCTCACACATGTCCACATGAACCCACACCCCCCTGATGTGTCCAGAAAATACACACACATCCTGCACACAGAGTCAGAGCAAAACCTGCTTACCTCACACCCTGTAAAAATACCCACGCACGCACACCTGAGACACACCCCCGTGGGCTGACTCCCAGATCACAGGGACAGGTGACCACACATGAACACCTGACACCCGCAGGCACACAGTCCTCTCCCACTCATGGACACAAAGGTTCACACCTAGGAGGGCAAGCAAACCATATGCACAACTCCCCTCTTCTCTTACACACGCACAACCTGGGGATCCCGGGTGCCAGCTCTGACCTGAACACTCCTGTTGGGTTTTGGGGGAAAGGACACGGAACTGGGAATGCCCAGTGTTTGTTGCTTGGCTTTAATTACGTGATGTACTGTGACAGAGGAGACCCAAATGCATAGGTGTAAGGATTTTCCCCCAGGCGGAGCAGTCACCCCCTCCGGGATGAGGAAGGGAAGGTTCTGTGGATTTTCTTCTGGGCGCAGGTCCGCCCTGCGTGCCCTGGAAACATGCAAGCCGCACTCACGCAGCTATCTGGGAATCTCACCAGGACATGCAGTACTGGAAGCTGCCACCAGGGGGCGGGCGTTTGCATCCTGAACGTGTCAGGCATTGGGGGTCCAGGGCATGGCCTAGTGCTTCTCCCAGATGTGACCCCCCCCAACCCAGGTGCACACATGGCCATCTCCTGCTGTGGCTGTCCCCAATCTGATTTCTTTCCCCCCCACCCCCAGCCTGAAGCTCCCCGCAGCTACCAGGACCTGCCAAGTCCCTGACTCTCACACCCAGACCCCTGCCTTCCCCACACAGCAGACGTTCAGTAAACCGGTGGCCAAACTGTGAGGTCTGTGTTTAATCAGACAATATGCAAATTATTTACAACCAATTCTGCATTTCCCCTCCCCCAACCCTGGGCCATGGAATGGGAGGCCCCCACGTCCTGCCCAGAGCTGAGGGCCCCCCCAGGCCTCTGCATAGTCACCTGAACTCTATAAAACACTGTTTTGTTTTTTTAAAAAAGGACAGTATAGGACACCTTGTACAAAGGGCCTTGGGCAGTCAGGGGAAATCTGGGGACGCGCAGGGCAAACAAGCCCAGAGGTGACCAAGACGGAGGGGAGGAGACAGGTATAAACACATGAAGGGAAAAGTTGGAGTTTTCATCGCAGGCCCTCCTCGGCCTCCTTCCCCGCCATCAGGAACCAGCCAGCTTGAGAAGTCCTGGTGGCAGGATGTTATTGCTATGATGGGTCCGTAGATGAAATGTACATGTCTGGGAGGCAGAGCAGGGGCGTTTTTTACATGTTAAATATGGACACACATGGAGACACACACATACACACACACACACACAGGGGCTCCTGGCAAGATTCCACCAATTGTCAACTGCCCATTTTGTAGCTGGGCACACTGTGGCCCAGAGAGATGCCACCACATACCCTAAAGCTGAACAGCAGAGCCAAAGCAGTCACCTGCTCTCCTGGGGCTGGGGCTCACCATGGATGCCAGGCCACCAGGTCTGGCCAGGAGCTGAGCAGTTGCAAAGACCAGGGCCACATGTGGGGCAGATGCCGCTGCTCAGAGAGGAAGCAGGGCCACCCAAGATCACACAGCCCCTGCTGGCACTCTTTTACCACAGCCAAGGCACTCCCCAACTTACCCATGAGTCAAGGGGGGGCTGACCTGGGGAGGGGAGTAGGGATCAGATGTTGAAATGCTCAGGACAAATGGGAAGGAGGACTTGGGGTTCCCTCCCGAGGCCAAGATAAGGGCTTCCTCGCCTCTTTAACTCCTCCACCTCTACTCGATTGCCTCCCTCTCATGTCTAGCTGGCTCTAAGGGTTAAAACCCAGCCACATTCTGATTGAAGGCTGCCTCCCCACACCTGCCACCCCTTATTCCTGGCTGGGCCTCATGCGGGCCTCCATTCTCTTCCCCCATGGCAGACAGACCAGCTGAGCAAACATGACAGCAGGATTCTGCTAGCCCCACCCATCCCTAGTCCCTGTGTTCCCCAGGCTGGCCCAGCCTGTCCAAGCTGCCTCTGAGGACAATTCCCATTGGTTCCTGAGGACAACAGAGGGAGCACCGGGTGCTAATCTCCCAACCCTGATTGCTCCATGATCTTGGTCAAGTCATACCCTTCTCTAGACTGTTTCCCCGTGGGCAAAACGGAGGAAGGAATTGTTGATCTCCAAGGGTCCTGGGGTGAAGAGCAGGGTTGGGGGGGGTGCTTACCCCACCCTGCAACACCAAGTCCTGTTGGGCCAGTCTGCCCAGCCTGGAAGTAACGGCCCAGGAGTCCAGACCCAGCAGCAGCACCCACAGATGTTCGAGCAATGGCAGGCCAGGGCGGTGAGGGTCAGGTGGGCAGGTTGAGGGCCAGGGGCCGCCACTCCTCTTTGGAAAGGCTCTTTGGCCAGCTCTTCAGACAGACTTGGGAAGCGGGGAGAGAGCCAGGTGCGTGGAGTGGGTTGAAGTGGGAGAAGGGCGCCCTAGTCCCAGCCCTTCATCCGGGTGCCTCTGCCAGAGACGGCGATGGGACAGTCACGGTGCTGGCCTCCGACCCATCCTCACCCTCACAGGCTGCCCAGGTCCTGAAGCCCTTCCACACCCCGACAGCAGAGGGCGTCATCCCTGGCATCCAGCCCACACAGGGAGGACCACAGTGGACGGGCAGAGGGTGGTGAAATCCCGCATGGGGCTGCCCGGAGCTGAGCGGAGTGCAGTCTGGGCCGCCCACTCCTATAGGTTCTCCCCCGGCTGGTACTGCGGCTCGGTGGACGTGAAGTAGTCCTCCAGAAAGGCCTGGAGGTACTCGAAGGTGGGCCGCTCCTCGGGCTCCTTCCGCCAGCACTGGCACATGAGGTCATGCAGGGACTCGGGGCACTCCGGCGGGCAGGGCATCCGGTAGCCCCGCTCCACTTGGTCCAGCACCTCCCGGTTCACCATCCCTGAGGGCGGAGGAGAGGAGGTTTAGGGGAGGGGGGGTTTACAGGGACAAGAGGGCATCCTAGAACTGACAGGGCCCCAGATGAGTCCGATCTCCAAAGCTGAGAGCCCTAACCAGAGAGGGAACCTAAGGTCAGACACTCAGCCTCTCCGTTACACTGATGGAACTTGTCCCAGGCCACCAGCCCCGAGGGCTCCAGGGACCAAAGGCAGACTGTGACGCCTCCTCACCAGGGTAGGGCACCCGTCCCTTGGTGGTGAGCTCGGTCAGCAGGACCCCAAAGGACCACACGTCCGACTTGATGGTGAAGCGGCCGTAGAGGGCGGCTTCGGGAGCTGTCCACTTGATCGGGAATTTGGCACCTGCAGGCGGGAGAAAGGCCAGGGCACTTGTCAGCGCGACACCTCCGCTCTGCCACACGGGGGCGCCATGCTCCCTCCGCTTCGCAGGTGAGGCGACAGAGCCGCGCCCAGGCCCCGCCCACCTTGCCGGGCCGTGTACTCATTGTCCTCGATGAGCCGGGCCAGCCCGAAGTCAGCCACTTTGCACACCAAGTTCTCCCCGACCAGGATGTTGGCGGCGCGTAGGTCTCGGTGGACGTAGTTCATCCGCTCCACGTAGGCCATGCCAGAGGCGATCTGCAGGGAACCCAGGAACCTGGCTCAGGGGACACACACGCCCTTCCCAGGGCCACAACGGGCCTGGGTCCAAGGATGGAGAGCAGGCCACACTGCCTGCCCTCCCCACACTTCTTCAGCTTACAATAAACACTGTTGGCATAAAAAGCAGGCCCAGAGCTCCTTGGGAGGAGGAGACGCAGGGCAAAGGAGGAACCAGGGAAAGACGCAGCCAGGGAAGTGGACGACCATGACAAATGGCCCCAGCTGGCCCACAGACACAGATGTATGCCTGTGGTTTCCAGTATCCTCCCTGAGCCTTAGTTTTCCCATTCTCAAATGGGCATAATAGCCAAAGTCTACTTCCCCTCATCGTTATCAGGATTAAATGAAAAAAGGGTTGCTGAGTAATACAAGTTTGTTGAAGGACTAAGTGGCCTTTTCAGAAGAAAACTGAGGCCTGAGGTCCCATTGGTCAGAGACTCCTAATGCTCACATAAGATCCTCTGCTCAGAACCACCTGTCATAGTACCTACAAGTGGTTCGTTCTGGTAATACACGTGACAAGACGAGTGAGTGTGGAGCAATCAGGGCAGGCCTCCTGGAGGGAGCATTCCAGAGGCTGGGGCTGCCTGAGCCAGGTGCATTTGGGTACTTGAGGGCTGAGAGCGTGGGGACGGGGGAGAGGGACTCACCTGGGCAGCCATGTCCACCAGCTGAGGCAGTCGCAAGTACTTGCCGGTTTCCCCCTTGAGGAAGTCCAGCAAACTCCCTGGGCACAGAGAGACGCAGCTTCAGGCCTGCCCCTGCCCCTGCCCCTGCCCCATGCCCCCTGTGCAGGAAGCAGGGACGCCCAGCTCCTGTCCCCGGGTGGGCTAGCCCTGTGGAATCCTTCTCAATAAAACCTTGTGCCTCTGCCTCGCTCAGCACTTGTCACTCAAAAGCAAGCGGGAAGGGAGACAGCCACCATGCAGGGGACCAATCAGCCCTCAGTGTGCACCCTGCAGAATCCTTGGCAAAAGGAAGGGACAAACCACTGGCCCTGAGGTAATGACTCAGATGCAAAGCTCACACGCGAGGCTCCAGACAAACACAGGTCCACTGGACTACGGGTCATGATTGCCTGCCTTGGGGCTGGAGGTACCGTCTGCTTAGCAGAACAGGAGCTTTTTGGGGTGATGCTGACACTGTACTTTTTTTTTTTTTGAGACAGTCTCACTGAATAGCCCCAGCTGGACTAGACCTCTTGATCCTCCTGCCTCAGCCTCCTGAGCGCTGGGACTACAGGTGTGCACCACGACGCCTGGCAAAACTGAACATGGCACACAGGTCTCACCCTTGCTCATGTACTCTGTGACAATGTAGATGGGTTCCTCCGACACCACAGCATACAGCTGCACCAGCTTCTCGTGCCTCAGCTTCTTCATGACCTGGGCCTCCTGCAAGAAGGCCTCTGGAGACATGGTGCCCGGCTTCAAGGTTTTGATGGCCACCCTGGTGGTGCCATTCCAGGTTCCTGTGGGGAAGGGATGCACATTCCCTTAGTGGAGGTCCCATTCCTATCATGCTGGGTCCAGGACCTGCCTACCTGGGTGCCAGTGTCAGCTCTGGCCTCCCTAGCCGAGGCTAGGGCGCTTTCCCAGCCTCTGTATTCCTAGTTGTCAAATGGACACAAAGACAGGGTGCTCCTCACGAGGCTGTTACTGGATGAAGTGAGTCTCTGGCACCTGCCCCAGAACATAGCTGCCCTGAGGACTCTGGCTTTAAGGAATGTCCCAAAAAAGCAGCTCGGCAGCCTGACACTGGGAGACCATGGGTCCAGTTCAGTGGTTGTACTCCTGCTATGGTCTGTTCCTGCCAGGTGGGGCATCAAGAGTAGGCTGGGCATCAGTGACGGGAAGGTGTCCCAGTGGGGACAGGGCTGCTTCGGGGGCCACTGGGACCACCAGAACAAGCAGTCCCCAAAAAGAAAAGCGCTTACTCTTTTTGTTGTTGCTTTTTAAACTTGAGTTGGGAGGAGAGGTCACCTGCTGGTGGCGCTCAGGCTGTCTGGGAATCCTTCACAAGTCTGAGGACGCGAGAGCGTCACCAGAAGTCACCACATGCCCACCAGGAATGAATGAGGCCGTCAAACCAGAGAAGGTTGTGCCTTTACCCAGGTTTTGCTGGAATCTTCCCCTTGGGTTTACACCTAGGAGCCAGCTTCTCCCTCACCCCTTCCTCCAGCTCAGAACCCACACCTCCCCTTCAAGGTGGTGGCCTCTAGCCTCCAGGCGTTTGTCTCCACAGTCCTCCCAGCCGGGAGCCCTTCTACTGCTCTACAGCCAAGATCTGGAAGGAAGAAAGTGGAGAAGTGGCACGGAGCAACTAGACTACTGAAGCCACAGGCTCCCAGCTGCATGTCACCTCAGGCCCCACCACTTCAACTCCTGGCTCAGTAGAAACCAGCCGGCAGTGGAGGGGCATGGGATTTGTCAGAGCTGCACACAGCTCATTGTCAAGGATGATTTTTCCACAACTCCAGGGATGGACAGGAAACTGCTAACAGGCCCAGAACCCACTGGCCCTTCAGCTTCCCAACACTCCCTCTGCACTGGGCTTTCTCTTCCCTCGGCTGAGAGCCAACGTGTGGATGTACTGAGCCAGTGTCCTAGCAGAGCCCCTGTGCAACCGCTATCACCAGCCCCATTCTACAGTCAGGAAGACTAAGGCTGGAGTGAAACCACCCAGCCCAGACACACAGCTGGTCCTAGGGGAGCTGTGACACCCACACTGATCTTCAGAGGCATGGGTTACAGAGATTTGGAAGTGCTCATGGCTGCACTCCAAGTCAGGGCCAGCCACAGCCAGGGGAGCTCCACTAAGAGACAGTAGAGAAGGGGTGAACATGGTCAAAGCGTATGAAAATGCCACAATGAAGCCTGTTGCTGTGAACAATTAATATATGCTAATTAAAAATCAAATAAAAGCAAGTCCTCACTGCTTCACAGACAACTACACAGTAGGGGACCCGGGGATCCCTGAGTTACCCGACTTGAAGGACATGTGCCAGTGCTGTGGGCAGCATTCCTTACCCATCCACACCTCTCCGAAGCAGCCCTGGCCCAGCTTGACCTCCAGCCGCAGCGACTCCCGGGGGATCTCCCAGGCGTCCTTGGCCAGGCCCTGGGTCTGTGGCTTAGACGTGGGGCACACGGTGGTGAGACGGTGGCACAGGCCATCGGCATGCTCTGAAGATGGAGGCAAGGAGGAGCTCAGGCAGGGTCCCATCCAGGGCCTCTCTGTCCCCAGTACAGGTAGCCCTACTCATGGTAGGCAGACAGGCTCAGGGGACACAGGATGCCCCTGAAGAAAGGCATCAACCACTGTGTGGACATCCCACCCCGACAGGACCACCATGCCCTGTGCATCCGTTCTGTTCATTCTTGCATTCAGTCATCCACCTGACTCAAAGGGTGCCAGGGACTCAGTGGGAACAGGTACAGGGAACCTGTCCTGGGGCACTCACATCAGAAATGTGTGATCTGGGGCTGGCGGAGTGGCTCACATAGCAGAGCACCTGCCTAGCAAGCTGAAGGCCTCAAGTTCAAACCCCAGTATCATCAAAAACAAACTTTGTTTGAAATGCATGAACTGTGCATGCAGGTGAGAGCCGGAGGGTTCCCAGAGGAAGCAGTGCCTGGGCCTGGGTCTGCAGCAGGGGTAACTAGGGAGAGGGTCTCCCCCTACTTCCCACCATTCTGCACAAAAGCCTGAGGCAAAGAGCAGCTGCTGGCTGGAGAAGCCACAGGAAAGGAGGAGCTGCGGCAGGTGAGGACGGGGGAACGTGAGGCCTGGGGTCTTCATCCTAGGTTCCAAGGCAGCCGTGGAGGGTATAATGTCGGGAACAGGCTCAGCATAAGCCCTACGGTCGGCAGAGGGGACAGAGTGGTACTGACCCTAGGAGTGCCGGGGACAGTGCAAGATGAGTGGACCACGCCTGCAGAGGCGGCAAGCACACACAGACACCTGCAGGCCGGACATCCAATGGCTGGGACGTCCACTGTGGCACCAAACCTGCACCCACCCTGTGCCCACACCACACCCACAGCACCCGGGCTCTTGCTCCCTCTGCCACTCGCTCTCTCCAGCTTGGCTGCAATCAATGTGGTTGCCCCCTCCTCCTCTCCCAGTAACCGGTTCAGACCAGTCCTCACTCTGCAGAAACAATCAGCAGCAGCCTATGTCCCCTTCCTTCCAGCCCGCTCCAGGAAGCCCCCTCCTCACCGCCAGCTGCCAGAGAAGGAGGGCGGAGAAGAGATGGGAGGGGGAGAGGGAAGGAGAGAAAAGAGGGTGGGCAGAGAAAAAGGGGGCTGAGGAGAGAGAGGGAGCCAGGAGAGAGAGGGAGCCGGGAGTGGAGGGGCTCAGGGAGGGAGGTCGAGGGTGCGAGGGTCAGGACGCTCACTGGAATAGTAGGCCACCAGCTGCTGCAGGCTGTTGAACTGGGTGCGCGAGGTGATGTAGAAACCCCCGCTGTCCAGCTTCCGGATCTTGTAGTGCTTCACGTTGAGGCCCTTGGCATTGTCAAAGTCTGACACTGAGAGGCAGTAGGCACCTGCAGGGCCGGGCAAGGGAAAGGGAACCATGACCTCCACACTGGCACTGCCCTGGGAGGCAAGCCCCAGGCCCACTCCACCTCTCAGCACCCAGCTGGGGGACAGTTGCCAAGAAACACCTCACTGGACAGTCCTTCCACCAACCCTTGTCCCTGGAAAGGCCTTGGAATCTTGGGTGTGCATCCGACTGTGTGACCCTGCCAAGTCACTTGCCTTCTCTGGGCCTGTTTCCGTTTCTGCACAGAGCAGATTCTATACAACCACATTTGAACGAACACAGCAAGCAGTCCCTAAATGTTTGCTGAGACCTGGGAATGGGCCCATATGGCTGTGTGTCCCTGGCTTAGCTGCTCCCTTCGCTGGGTCTGCCAATGAGACACTGGCTCCTTGCAGCTTCCCACAGACCAGGCAGGAGCGGGTGGCTGGCTGAGGCTGTGGCAGTGCGGTGTGGCAGGAGACTGTGTTCTGGGTGTGGCCTTTAGGCTGCCAAGGCCAAGCTGGGCCAGCCCTGGCTCCTTCCCCTAGAAAAGTTTCTGCCTAGAAAAGTTTCTGGCTGAAGGTTCCTCCTGTAGGCAGGCCTGGCTTCCTAGGACCGAAGCACGCCCGGGGATGATGCATCAAGGAAAGAGGCTGAGCCCCAGGTGAGGCATGGGTCCCAGGGGCCAGAGAAGACAGTGGGTCCCCGAGGGCCCTGTACCCCTCTCTGGACACCCTCAGGTGGAGGTTTCTATCACAGTGTGCAGAAGGGAAAAAGGAGGCTCAGAGAGGGAAAGTGGCTAGCCTCCGGTCACCCAGCAAGTCAGACAGAGCTGAGGCTGAAACCCACCCCCAAGTCTGCACTGGACTTCGAAGTTTTCTACAAATGGGCCATGTGCAGGAAGAAGCCACAGGCCTGGGACGGAAGCCAGCCCTGACCCCATACATACACACACACACACACACACACACACACACGGGCACACCATGCCCAGTGGCCACATGCTCACACATGCAAACCCCCCAGACCCTGAACAGCAGGCCACACCCTCCATGGTTCACTCCCACGCAGCAACATGTGGCCACTACTCCCCCTCCCCCTACACATGCACACACACCTACACGTCTGCATGGCACACACGTGTACACAGCCACATGGCTGCTGTGCACCTCCTTTGCACGGTGGCAATGCAAAGGAGGGATGGAGGGGATGCTTTGCTTTCCCAGCTCCCGCTGAGCCCCAGGCCCACATGAAGTGGCCCAGTGCGGTTGCCATGGTGACAAGGGCTGGAGAGAAGAGGGTGGTCTCCATTCTCCAGCTGAGGGAGGGGCAGGAGAGAAGCACAGCCAGACTGTGGGGGAAGGGCAAGGCCAGGTTCCATCCCAGTGTAGCCCCAGAGGCCCTGGGGAAGGGGAAGGGAAGGAGAGAGACCCACTGCATGTGTGACAACCTGCACCCTTCCTCACTGAGATATCCTAGCCAGAGAGGCTGTGTCATCTTTCCTGGGAACGTGCCTCAACGACTGATCCTGCTGTTTCCTCCACCTGGAGTGCTCTCCCCTCCCCACTCCCTATACCAAACTCCTATTCACTCTGCAATATCCAGCTCAAACAACACTCCCCAAGACTCAGCTTCCACTGGCCCAGGGAAGTGTACCTTTCGTGGTCTCGCTTTCTCGCACCAAGAAGGTCCCTCTAGGGTTTTCTGTGTTGAGCAGTAACCGCTCTGACTCCCGTCTGGTGATCTTGCCAAAGTACCACCTGGGGTAGGATGGACAATGATGGTGTCGGTGGACCAGGCTTCCACCCATCCACAGTGCCACTTCCTGGGATGTGGCTGGGGCCCCAGAGGGGTCAGATCTTACTCTGGCCCCCAGGAGACCCCGCAGCAACAGCGACAGTGGCCAACAATGGTACTCACTCTTCAGCCTGGATGGAGTCAGAAGGAGCCACGTAGTTGCTGGGGATGTAGCCGGTCTGTCCCGTGCTAAGCGAGTGGGCCAGCCACCAGTCTCCCTCCCTGAGCAGGGGGAGAAGGAAGCAAAGAAGAAGGGGCTGTCACCAGCGAGCCCCAGGGCCTGCCATCTTCCAGGGTGCTATGCTGGGGGCCTGCAGCCCAGGGAAGCCCCGGGAGGGCATGGGCCAGCCTGCAGCCACAGCAAATGCACCAGATAGAGCTGGCCTGGAACTCTCCCCCTCCCTGGCCCAGATCCACTGCCGAAGCTGGCTCAGATGAGCTCTGTCCAGGACCCACTAGGACTGAGCTTGGTCAGCCAGTGGCCCAAATCCACGGGCACTATGCAGATGGACCGAGCTACCTCAAGACACCAAGGGCTGCCTCTGCAGGGAGGAGGGAGCTCCCCGTCTCAGGCTCTTGCCCAAGGCGGTGATGTCCAATGAGACCTTCAAAGTCTCACTAAGCCCTGACATTTGGAGGCCCCATCCTGGGAGGTGTGACAGCTAGGTGGAGGCAAGGGATGACCCCTGTGGGGTTGGTGACAGTCCAGGCCCAGCCCTGTAAACTACAGCATGCTCACCTCTGTCCCACATCCCAGATCACTCCTAACAGTCCTTAACTGAAAATGACAGGCCCCCTCCTGCAACCTACCCATAAACTCAGGGGAAACTGAGACCACAGGGGGCTAGGAGTTGCCCAAAGTCATTCAGCAGGTCATGGGCGGGGGGCGCGGGTGGCAGAATCCCAGTGCCCAGGGCACCTCTACACTAACTGCCCAATGAGGAGGGAAGGAGAAGAGGTGGCTGGATGGGCAGGAGTCCCAGCTCAGTGGGTGCCCGGGCCTGGGGGAGGGGAAGGAGGAAGTACCTGTGCAGCCATCTGAATGTGAACCAGGTCTGGCTGGAGTAGGGGTCCAGCGACAGAGGAGAGAGGAGCAAGCGAGAGCCCGACAGGGAGAGAAGAGGCAGAGATGCGGGTGGTGAGAGGCAGAGTGGCAGAGGGAGCAAAGGGAGAGAGCCAGAGCCAGGGGGCAGCCAGAGGCCTCACATCCAAAGCAACCAAGAGAGACAGGGAGAGGGTCTGGGGGAGTGAGGAGAGAGTAGTGGGCAGGGAGCCTGAAAACTAGGGTCCAGTCCCTCCCATGCCCCCCGTACAGGTGGGAAGGCTGAGGTCAGAGAGGCAAAGAGCTCTGCTCAAGGTCACACAACCAGGCATAGACTCCAGGAAAGAGGCTCCTGCCACTGTGGTGAGACTTTGAGGGTTGCAAGTTCATCTCCACCCAAGGCTGCCTTTGGCCCTCACCTTGACTCTGAGAAGATGCAGGGTACACACACACACACACACACACACACACACACACACACACCACTAGGGCTCAAAGAGAGGAAGAGCCTTGCCTCCAGTTACATGCTGGCTCCCTGAGCTGCCCCCAGTCGTGTTCTTTGGTTTGTCTGTTTTTCAGCAGGACTAGGGTTTGAACTCAGGGCTTCACACTTCACACTTGCAAAGTAGGCGCTTTACTGCTTGAACCAAATCCCTAGTCCATTTTGCTCTGGTTATCCTGGAGGTGGGGTCTCACGAAGTATTTGCCTGGGCTGGCCTCAAACTGATCTTCCCAACTTCAGCCTCCCAAGGAACTAGGATTACAGCCACGAGCCACGGCACCCATTATTGCCTCTGGCCTTATTCTTCAGCCAGTTTTCAGATGGAGCGGTTAAAGCCAGGAGAGAGCAGGGCTGGACAAACTCTCTGAGGACCTGTCTGAGGATAGGTGAGCACTCCAGCCAAGGCTGGGTCAGAGGGATGGGGTCCCTTCTGAGATGAAGGGGGTACAGCTGGGACTGCATGGCCTGACTCAACCTGTGATACTCAGACAAGGCCACAAGCTCATATGGGGTCCCTGGGAGAGAACAGGGAGAGTTCACCTCAGGCCTCTGCATGCCCAAGTCTCCACTCACCTCCCTTGGTGCACCCATGGGAGTGCCTATGGTTTTCTGTCCCATTTAACCTCAAGGCCACCTCGCACAGAGGAAGTCAAAGCCCCAACACCCAGCCAAGGACTCAGAGATGTCGAAGGATCCACCCTCAGACACCCAAGCTGGAGCAGACCAGTGCTTTCTTTGCAGAGTTGGGGAAACTGAGGCACAGATAGGCTGCAATTTGCCCAGAGCCACATGGAGCACCAGTGGTAGAGTGAGGCTGAAAACAAGGCCCCTGAGTGCCAAGGCTAAACACAGCAGGCCTCTCAGAGGCCTCTCAGAGACCCCAGAGAGGCCAATGGCTGAGGGAGGAGGAGGCAACAGAGCTAGAGGCAAAGGACAAGGGGAAGGACTGAGATCAGGGGTGACACAATGAGGTGGCTCAACAAATTCAGAGTGGGCAAGTGGCCAGCTCTGGGGAGCCCCAGCCCCTACTTAGAGTGGCAGGCTGGCAGCACCCAACCCAGAAGACCCCAGAAGTAAGAGGGGCAGTAAACTGGCATTGCCAGACTCCAGCCAGCAAAAACCCAGCTCTCTGACATCAGCCCACAGCAGAGCCTGGTGGTCCTAGCCCAGTGTGGGGCTTTCCTTCCCAAGGGGCAGGCATAGAGACACAGTCCTACTTCAGCCTGTCTCCGACTCTACAAGTGACTGAGAGCTTGGGCTGTGCAGCTGAAGTGCCCTGAGGTGCCACCCAGGCCCACCTCCTCGGAGGAGGTAAAGTGCTAGCACAGGGCACGTGGCAACATGCACAGCTGGTGGCATCGTGACTCGGCTAAAGCCTTAGACGAGCACCTCTGTGGTGCATCCAGATCTCCCCACTCTCCAAAACACCTGTACAAAACAAGCAACACAGTCCTACTCTCCAACAGACTGATGCTGTGTGACCTCGGGCAAGCTGCACACCGTCTCTGGGTCTTAGTTTCCGCATCCACAGCGTTTCCTCCATAGCAAAGTGTGTAAAGAACATCAGGATGGGCTCGGGGTAAGCTGACATTATTACTGGGATTGTCTCCTGGGCCTCAGTTTACACTCCTGTGGAATGGAGGCATCGAACCCCATCTTCCCCTGTCAAGGGACTGGGAGGTTCAAATCTGCCTCAGTGGCTGGGAGCTGTGAGGGGTCCCACGGCTTCCCAACCAGCCAGCCCAAGTCCTTTGTCAGAACCGATGGCAGCTTTCACCTACGGGGTGAAGGGCTCCACTGAACGTAGTGCCTCCTGGCACTTCCCGCCGGGCAAGAAGGGAAGGAAAACCACATGTTCCCTGCAAACCCATGGGGCCGGAGGAGAACCCACTGGACCTGGGATCCCCAAGCTGCAGTTTTACAGCAGTTCAGCAGCAGTTCAGCAGCCTGTGTCCTTGGGCAGCCCTCCTCGCCTCACTAAGCCTCAGGGTCAGAGAGCCGTGGGGTCCTCTTTGGGACCCTAATCCTTGTGTGCAGCCAGGATGGCCCATGGATGGGAAGTGGAACCTGGGGCATGATCACAGCATGAGTGAGCACTGACATGGACTCCCTGAGCTACTGGGACAGGTCGGAGACACACCGGGGACTGCACACAGGTTGGACAGCCCGAGGGCTGAGGCTGGCCAAGCCAGGGAGGAAGCAGGCAGTCTGGTTTAGAGCTTTGGGTCCTGGGACCCATGGTCTGTAGAGTGGATGGGGGAAGGGAGAGACTAGTCAGGACTCGGGAAGGTCCCTGGAGGCTCTGAAGGCCTGCGGTGCCCTTGTCCCCAAATGCCCAGACAGGGACCCAGAGGCCGATGGAGTGCCAAAGCACCAGCTGCAGGCTCCCGAAGAGGCCACTGAAGTCAGGGTGGGAGCGGGTAGGCAGCTCAGGGCAGCCAGGCCTCACACTCCAGTGAGCCTCCTCCTCCAGGGCCACACAGCATTCAGGCCACCAGGACCCAGGGCCACGTGGCACCATGATCCATGCAGCAGCCAGGCTGGTTAGCTGGGCTCAGCTTTCAGCAGGACACCCAGTCCCAATCCACACGGGGCCCCCCACACTAAACTCATGTGACAGGGCTCGGGTGGAGAGGCTTGGCCAGGCATGGACCCTGTGTAGTACCAGAAGGACACGCAGAGGTCCTGGTGAGGATGGAGAGTCTGAGCAAAACCCTCTCCTCCTCTCCCACTGTCACCCCCAGCTCTACTCCCACTCAGCTTATGCCTCCAATCCACCCCCACAACCCCAGTCAGGGCCCTCAGGGGCGAGACTCATTGTGTCCAGCCCTCTGGGCTGCCCAGGTCTGGCCAGGCATCCCCAGCCATCCTGAAAGGCAGGAAGGAGTGGGAGAGAGCCCTCCCACAAGGCCTGTGAGCTGGACAGCAGCTGCCCTGCCCAGCTCTGCCTTTACTATCTGCGTGACCTTGGGCAACTCATTTTACCTCTTGAGCCTCAGTCTCCTCATCTGTAAAATGGAGCCCCCACTTCTCCGGGCTTTGGTGATGCATACATGAAATCACGAGACTGGAAGCACTCAGCACAGACCTGGCTCACACGCAGAGCAACAGCACAACCACTTTGTGCTGCTCCTTCATCCTGGTCACCAATGCTGGCCAGGCACCCCAGTGAGTCAACAGCAGGGCACTGGGGCCCCAGAAAAGATCTGGCCAGAGAGCAGAGCTCCCACTTTGGGGGAAGCAGATGCAAGCAGCTGGTGACAACAAGAGAATGGAGCCACACCAGGGTTGAGAGGGGGATTGGAACACCCCCTCCCCGTCCCAAAGAGCAGCCTGGGGAAGGGAAAGAACCACTGCAGGAGTTCCGGTCCCTGGCTTTGTCTCTTGGTAGCTATGTGACCCTGGACACGGGCCTTCACAACCCTGAGCCTCAGTTTCCTCATTTGCAAAATGGAGACAGCCCCCTCCCCCTGCCCTGGCAGCATTATAGAAAGGAGATATATGAGAAGGATGCGGGTGAAAATGACCACCTGGCACCAGGCAGTCCTGTGCTGGCTCTTGAGGGGCGAATAGCAGTTCATCAGGCAGAGAGGAGAGAAAGGGCATTCTAGGCAGAGGGAACCGCTTGCCGGAAGGAAGGGAAGCAATGAACAGCCAGACTAGATCAGGGACAGAGGAATGTCTGCCTCCTTAGCCAGGCAGCTGAGAACACTTGGGGATGGAGGAGTCTCCTTGACCTTCCAGAACCTTCTGGCCTTCTGTACCCTGAAGCCTTTGGCACCTCCAGCCCCAAACCCCCTGCCACCAACTCTGTGACTCAGAGTCCTTCTCTAGAAGCCCTGCTTGCCCCTCCCAAGCCCTGTGGTCACCACCAGAGAGGGGCACACAGCAGGGGCTTCACAACAAAGCTGCCCTCTGCTTGTCCCTTGGCCTGGACTGGGGCACATTCAGGGGGCCATGAACAAGGCCTCCTCTACCCAGGCCTCCTGGGTCCAGCACTGGGCTCTGCTCATTGTACTCAATGTGGCTCAATGTGGCTGACAGGTCAGAATGGGACAGTGAGCTAACACTCACTTTCCCACTGATAGGTGGGAGGTGGTGCCACAGGTGATGGGGCCCCCAGCTCAGCTGGGGACCTGACAAACTGGCGGGGTATGCAGGATAAGCTAGGCAAGCTTGCAGTTGGGGACAGTGGAGGGAGCCAGAGGCCACAGACAGGGACACTGGGTAGGAGAAGTACATGCAGAGAGCGGTCCCAAAGCCCCAGCAAAGCACCCCCCATCGCCCGGCCACCCACGCGTGGTACACACCTGACATCCACCTTCCTCCTAAGGGCCAGCGAGAGAGAAGCAGAGAGAAGAAGCTGAGTGGGCTGGAGGGAGCAAGCGGGGACCCAGGACGGAGGGGACCCCGGGGGCGGCTGGGGAGGACCACCGTGCTGCCCGGGGCGGGGGGGATGCGGCAGGTGCGAGCTCTGCATTGCCCTTTGCCGGCGGCTCCGGGCGCGCAGGAGGGAGCCGCTTCCCCCACTGTGGTCTCGCACGGGGTCCGCACCAGGACACTCACGTGTTGTTGACAATCTGGAGCCGCTCCCCTTTCCTGAAGGACAGGTCAGTCTCTGTCCGTGACTCGTAGTCATAGAGGGCCACAAAGGTGGTCACTCCGCCTGCAGGGAGGGGTGGGGGTGTCAGAAAAGCCCTGCATTCCTGGACAGGTGGACCTGCCCTCCTCACCCATCAGTGCCTGGCCCACAGACTGGCACAGTTGGCGGGGGTAGCGTGGGACGTATGAGCGTTCTGTCCTGTCTGTGCGTCCCTGGGTATCCTTTCCTGTCTGCGGGTCCCAACTGGGCTGCAGGTGGGCTAGATGTGGTGTCTGTGTGGCTCTTGACAACCAGAAATCCTGCTCTGTGCCCGAGCCGCACACAGTGAGCCCCGCACACAGTAGGTGCCCAAGGCACAGGGTGAGCTGAAGGAGCCTGACGAGGGCTGCTCTGCTTCTCTGTGCATCTCTGGGTTCTGGGCGGAGCCAAGCTGCAGCTCCCTGACCCCCCCCCACAGCCCCCTGGTGTCCCCACGCTAGGCGCGTCCCTCGGTCCCCTGTCCTGCAGCCTCCTCCCAACACAACACCCTGGAAGTCCTGGCGCACACCAGGACTCCACAACGGCCACATGCACAGTGCGCCTGCGACACCTGGGTGTGCGACTGTGCCCGAGGGGTCCGGCCGGCACGTGAGCGGCGCACCCATGGGGCATGGGTGTCCCGAATGGCTTTGGACCGCAGAGGGCCGGGTCCCGCACGTTGGCACCTGCGCGCTCTGTGCGTATGTCCCCGCGAGCCCTGCGTCCGTGTCCCGGCGCGGGTCCCGCAGGGTTTCCGTGTGTCTGTCTGGTGTCCCTCTTGTCCCTCCAGCCTCCGGGCAAAGCTGCCGTACCCCGAAGCGCCAGCAGAGGGCGCGGGGGCGCACTCGGGGCCGTCCACCAGGGAGCCACCAGGCGTGCCGGGTCCCCGCCGCCCCTCCGCCACCTCCGACCACCAGAACCAATAACAAAGACTGGTCCTCTCTCCAGGGCCCGTTATACTGTGCACGTGGCCCCCATGCGCCCCACTTTACGCTTCATGCCCCCCCCACCCGCTGCGGACCCCACAGTCCAGGACGCGCCTCCGCCTGGGGACGCACAGCGGGGAGCGCAGGACACTGACCGGCCAGCGGCCCCGCCCTCTGCGGGGAGGTGACAGTGTCCGAGGAATTGAAGCCCCCGAAGAGCTTGGGCTCGGCGGCC